TTTCTTTCTTTCTTTCTTTCTTTCTTTCTTTCTTTCTTTCTTTCTTTCTTTCTTCTTTCTTTCTTTCTTTTATGGATACCCAGTTACACTCGCTACTGGCATCTAAGAAAGTTTTATAAGGTCCTGCCTTTAATTCTAACAGGTAAAGTAGCCTCTCCTAATGCTTCAAGCTCCAACTTTGGAACTTGTAAAGGCAAAGCCAAGAGCTCTTTCATTTTTCTTTGGCTTCTTCTTTTAGTGTGCTAACTGATGAAACCGCCCATCAAAGGGCAGCGTGTTAATGTTATATGGCAAGGGTTCTACTTGGACCAGAGTCCAGGCTGTGATTCATACCCACAGACTACGGGCCCTCGATACAGACAGATGTGGGAACAGCTGCTTGTTGTGATAGCGTCTCCATAGGAACCAGAGGTTTCCTCCCTTCCACCACCCATTATTGCATATTTTCCTTTCTGACTCTGCAGTGCCCTTGAAGACAGACAAGAGACATCCAAGAATACAAGCCAGCTCATCAACCTTTTCCCAGGGACTACCAAGTAGACTCTGAATGTGCAAGAATGAATCGTTTTACAACTTACGCCTGACTGAGTTTATAAAGGACTTCACGAACTTCACAGCATAACTGTGGTCAGGTTTATGAATCCGGCCAAGCTGGATGAGGTGATGGTCCAGAGGGTGGCTGGCCAGGCCTTCCAGCTCCTTGTCGTTCCGAGCGGGACCCAAGGAAAATACAAAAAGGGCACAGCCTTGACATTTGGCTCGTAAGGACTCTTTCTTTAAGGTTTCTCCATCCAGGTGACTGGTTTCCCCAGCCGATATCACAAATATGACTTTGTTTCTCCTCAGATTAGGTGTGTTTAAAAAAATATTATCCAGAGTCCACCGTAGGGCATGGCCTATGAAAGCATCCCCATTCAGCTGCTGAACTGCGTGTTCCACATGCTTTTTCATGAGGCGCTTACTGCTGTAGGTGGTCAAGTTGAACTCGGTTCTGACGGGACTCCTCTGAGTGTTGGGTAGGAAGTTGGGGGGCGCGTGGCTCAATAGGGCCACCCTGTCTCCAGCAATGGAGGTCTCTGGCTCTGCAGTGATTTCAAAGTGATCTATCAGTGCTCCCAGGAAGGCTCTTATGTCTTCGAATTCGGCACTTCCCACATGCCTGGAGCCATCCAGCAGGAACGCAGCGTCCAGGTATGACTGTGTTGGGGGTGGCCTGGCTTGGTCACAGGAAGCATCTGGCTTGCAGAGATCTGCAAACCAAGTCACTTAGGGTTACTACACAAATAGGACAGAATGCAGAAAGATCATAGCTCAACTATTTTAACATTTGGGAACTGCATAGTCTTTGATGTTAAAATAGTTATGAATAAGATTCTATCTATCTCCTAAAGGTTCAGATTTGATAGCCACAATGCTACCAGTTTTTAAAAAAGTTAAACTGTGTTTATTGGAAAGTTTAATCTTGGCTAGGTCATGTCTATAATGTTTGACTTGCAGTTTAGCTCCCGCCTACTAGCGTACACTGGAGCTCAACATGGCCCTAGATTGACAAAGCACAGGTGAAACCCAAGGCCTTAAGTGCCAATGATACTCCTATCATTGATCTGTGAAAAACAACTAATCTGCTTCGAAGACTAAGCTTAAAAACAATGTTTCTTTTATTTCAATGTAAGAGTTTATAATTTCATGTCCATTGCCTATAAAGCTACATTTCACTTTGATATTCCATAATGCTTATTCATTGAAATCACAATACATGTTTGTTAAATGAGTGACTAGAAATATTGCATATTAATGGTCTTCCATAAAGTGAGGTCATTGTTATAAATATTCATGGCTCATTAAGAATGCATAGTAACAAAAGCAGAGAATGGATTTTATTCAATGTGACCACAATGAATGTTCAGAGGAATAAAATAAATTGGAAATGGAGGATCCTAGAAGTCATATCATCTTCTAATTTTACAGAACAGACTGAATCCAGGAGAGTAAGTCATTTTACAAAGGATGTACCATATTACTAGAAGTTTCTATGTAAGAAGTCAGTGGTTTTTAACATTTATGTATTTAGTGTGTATGTCTTGGAGCATGTATAGTAATGGCATGTATGTGGAGATCAGAGGGCAAGGAGAATCAGTTCTCTCAGGGTCCTGACTCAGTTTGTCAGGTTTGGTGGCAAGCACCTTTATGTGCTGAGCGATTTCGCAGGCCCCCAGAAGTCAGTGTTTTATTGTTAGAGATGAGGACATGACACAACATGTGGGGAGGTAGTGGGACAGCCTCTTGGCCCAAGAGTTGGGAGGTCCAGGTTCTGGTCTTGTCACATAACAAAAGTGATGTTACTTTGAGCAAGCCACTGCTGGGCCTCAGTTCTGTAGTTTCTCTGCAACTGACCCAGAGGTCCTTGCAAGGCTGACATTCTAATTTTTCAATAAAGTTGATGGCTGAGGATAAGAATAGCCTCTTTAAAAACTGAAGAGAAAAAGTAGAAATGGAATAACACGTGTGCAGACAGCTGGTACGTAGATACAGGACTGGGCCATAAATAAAAGCTATTAAATAAAAAACCCAATGGCCAGCATGCAGATGCTATGGGTGTAGCAAACTTCCCAGCTCCAGTCTTGCTCACGGACTAAACAAAGATGGCTCTGCCTAAGCCCCTTACTGAAGTTTAATGGCACTTTATGACCCTGCATAATGGTCAGATGACAGAACAGTCACCTGGGTGCAAAGCAGTTTCTAAAATCAGGGACAGCAGGCTGCCCATTTGCTCTGTTTTGTGAGGTTTTTAATTGCAGAAAACGACAGCCAAAATATCTTCCATTATATGTCTAAGAGACAAAACAAGGGTTTAAGCCAAGGCATGAAGCCAAAAATCTATCCCCAGTCACATACGTGCACTTTCTGACTGTGCAGCACACCAGCACACTGTTGGAACTAACATGTTTCGGGGCACAACTGAGAATATACAGGGCAGATGTATCTCCTTCAACATGGTTACCACTTCACTGATCAGCGAGAGGCTGCCAGGCTCCAAACAAACCAGTACAACCCAAGGGGCTGGAAGGTATCAACAGAAAGGTTGGCTGGAGGGCTGCAGGGGGAGACAGACGAGGAGGTGAGGTGCCCTTCTCCCCCTTTTCCCCTCCCTGTAAGGTCATCTACCCTGCATTCACCAGCATCTCACCGACACACGTGGAGAAGGAATTAGACATTTTTTCCAGGTCTAAACGGAGAGTCTGGGGGAGCAGAGTGAGACCCCCATTCTGTGTAAGCTACATGTACTTCAGAACCAGCTTTCTTGGGTTTGATCTGGCTGTGAGCAAATGATCACACGTCTCTAAGCTTCATTTCCTTTGTCTGTACACTGCAGCTAATAGGAGTGCACACATTTTAGGGTAGTTAGAAGGCTGGACTAGCACATTTCATGTAAACTGATTAGAGCGCTGCTTGGAACATAATAAGCCCAGTAGTTTACATCTCAACTGTCATCAATATTAGTGTCATGTGTAATTAGAATAGAGTACAGCTTATAGCAGAAACTTGGTAACTGTCAGCAGTTAAAACACCAGTCACACAAAGGCTTCTACTGTCTTCATGGTTTTTGGAACACTGAGATGGAAGATTAGAACTTTTCCAGTTAGGCCTATAAATCATGTACAAAATACCACAGACTGATCAATGCTGCAGATCTTTTTGATGTTTAACCCTTGGGAGTCAGTGAAGACTCTCCAGTGAGCATTGCCTGAGTTCCTGTTGTTTCCTACTTCTGCTGTACTGAAAAATAACCCAAGCAGAAAGGAGGTGCCAGATTGCTTGAAAGCATTTCTTGGGGGCTGTGAACATTTGAGACTGAGAAAATACATATAAAATGCTTCACAGCACGAAAAACTTGGCCATGAGACAGGCTGAGTTTTTCTGAAAATCATTACTGCTTCTTGGAAGCTGTGCTAAGTAGAGGGGCCAGGAATGCAGCCCTCCTGCTGGGATGCATGAGACCCTTGAAGGCTGAGCTGAAAGGCTCCATCTGTGGAAGATGCAGTGTGCACCTCAAACCCCGGGGAGGTCCCCCCTAGGCTATGCAGAGATCCCTTAGACCATGTTCCAGCTGCTCCTGCCAATGGTGACTCAACCCACTTAGCAGGCCTGATCAAATTAGCTTCTCTCTGTGGGTCTCACCGTAGCAGAAAGTGCATCGCTGGAGTCTCTCTAGCGCTGGTATGTCGTCAGTCCCAGAGGGAACCATGATGACTTGGAACGTGCCAGTGTCATCGATCTAGAAGAAGCAGAAGCAAAGGAAAGATCTGCTTAGTAGGGAGGGATAGAGGAAGCTTCCAGCACCATTCAGAGAGCTGAGGTCTGGTGTGGGCAACCCTGTCCAACAAGGCTGTAGGGAGGTGGTTAGAGCACGGCCAAGTTTAACCCTCCACCCTCTCTTTAGCTGTCAAAAAGAAATACTCTCCTATCTACCACAGCACAGAAAGCTCACCAGTGTGAAGCACTTCCTGGCACAGAGTGGGCAGGCACCATTAAATTTCATACCCACCATCTCCTTAACCCAGTCAGAGCATACTATAGATCCTCACTTTATACATGGAGGAACTGAAGCTCAGAGAAGGGTTAACAGCTGATCCAAAGACATTCTATGCTGAAGTCTTTTAGGAAAAAGAATCAGAGCACTCCTTCTAAGTCCCAGCCCCAAGTACCAGAGGACCATGTAAACCACAGGCTGCTTTTTTGTTTTGTTTTTGTTGTGTTTCAGATAGGCTCTTCCTGTAGCTGCAACTGGCCTAGAATTCACTATGTAGAACAGGCTGGCCTGGATCTCACAGTCACCTGTCTCCGCCTCCCGAGTGCTAAGAGTAAAGGTGTGGGCCACCATCAGAAAGGCTCTTTTAGTCTTTTTAAGTTTCCACTGTGACCTGCGAGTTGAAGCTGGCTCTGAAACAGGCTCAGATCCACATCTGGGTGGTTCTTCTCCCCAAGTCTCCCCAACCCTTTCCTTTCCCTGTACCAACACAGTTAGTAACCCACTAGGGAGCTTCAGGGTGCAGGTTTGACCAGTTTCCTAGCTGGAGCTAGTCTGCACTGTTCATCATTTTGGTCTAGTTTTTCAAGAGGACCATACATACCTTTGTTGCACCTGGGTCTGGGACCAGAGACTGGAGGCCAAGCCAGTGTCAGATCAGAGAGTTTAGGGAGAAGATAAGGAAACTCCAAATGATCAAGAGCAATGAACTTGCCAGTCAGCTGTGGATCTTTGACAGGTGAAGGAAAACTGTGCTGATCCTAGCCCATGGCTAAGATAGGTCAGATGACATTTGTTCCCCCGTGAATCATACTGAGTCTCTTGAGTAACATAACCCCTCTCTGGGAAGTCTCCGTCCCACACTGAATCCCACAGGGCTGGGACCCGAGTGGTCCAGGCTCCACAGGGTAACATCATCTCTCTGACCGGAGCTAAATGGACCAGGGCAGGACATCTGAGCTAGACAGAGCTGTTCTCTCTGGAGTTTGGAACTGGAATCTAAGGGCTGCAAGTCTGATCAGAGGCAAGAGCCTGCAGAGCCACAGGTGGCCGATTCTATGTAGTGGACTGAGGAGGGAGGGAAATGAGACTGGGGAAGAAGAGGCAAGACAGTTCTTCCTGAGGCTTATTCCTGCTTCTGCCTATTTTTTATCCTGTGCACAACAGATGGCGACATGTGTTTCGTCAGCTTCCTCTCTGGGAGCCCACGGCTTTGCCTTGATATGCTTCCTGGGTTAGAAGAGCTCACGCTGAGGGACCACGTGACAACTAAAGATTTGGCTTTTAATTTCCAGACACAAATCCATGGCGAGAGGAGCCTGGAGTGCTGAGGAAAGACGGAAAGAATGAGAGCCACTTGATGTGGTATGAGGGCGGTGCCGGAGGGCAGGCAGGGAGAAGGGACAGGAGCCGTAGGGACAAGAACGGGGCCTTCGTGTAGTGGAAAGCTATGGTCTCCTTCTGTCTTCAGTAAGATCTGCCCTGCTCACTGACTGTGCTAATGGATTCTTGGAAGAAAGAGCTGAGTGCACCCAGGAGAGGACAGGGCACCGGCAGACACTGCTCACCTGGACCTGGGGCCGAGCTACCAGGGTCATATCCAAGTTCTTGTAATGAATGCCACTTAGCATACATATGGTTGTCTGTTGTACTCAGGTTACCTTAAAGTGGTTCTGGTGATCTTTGAACAAAGAGGCTTGAGCAGTCTGTCTGCCCAGCAGCATAGTTGCACTGTGAGTGGTTTTGTGTATCTTTAATTTTTAATTATGCATATGTGTGTGTCTGTGTGGGGGTATGTGCATATGAATACAGGCATCTCTGTAGCTGCCAGAGGCTTCGGATCCCTCTGGAGCTGGAGTTTTGGGTGGCTGTGAGCCACCAGACAGGGGTGCTGGGAACCAAACTCATGTCCTCTGCAAGAGCAGTATACATGATGCCCTTAATCACTGATCTCCAGCCCCTTTGTTAGTGATTTTAAGAGGTGTCTGTGCAGTGTTTCAAGTGAACCACACCTTTGTTCCATCAGGACTGTGATGAGTGATTAGAGACCTAGCCAGTGTTGGCTCAGAGAGTATGGGTCAGATATCTGGGGATTGGAGTTGGGGGAAAAGACCTTTCTTTCCACCAACTACTGGCTCTGGGAAAAAACACAGAATGAGTGGGAAGAAATTTTAGAAACCATGTCATCCACAACCTCATTGTTTTACAGATGAGGAAAGTGAGCTCTGGAGAGGTGTGGAATCCAGAAGGCTTCAGGGTAAGTTTTGTTCTCCCCAAACAGCTCGTTTCCATCTGCACCAGCCACTTCTGTGCTGTACGTGGTTGCGCATCAGTGGGTGCTTGCTTAATTGAGAGCAATGTTTCCCAGGATGCTGTCCAGGGAGTGCTGCCATCTGCTAACTGGCCTTGTGTTCTCCATGTCTACACATAACAACTTCCACATTTCTGGCGATGGCCCTGTTAGCAACTGAGACTCACATTCAATCATGTACTAGCACAATAATATCAAATTAAAAACAGGGTCATCCTCATTGATTCTATGGAGTGGTTTTACTGGTGAGAGTCCACTGGAGCCTGCATTCTTCTGACACCCCTAGTAAATAATCGCTTCATAAAGCCTGAAAGTTTTTTTTTTCCAGAGGTCATTGATCTTATCACTTATCATTGGAGTGGATAGAGTCATATGCTACAGAAAAAAACTCCTGGAGCTGAATGTGGACTGAGGAAAGGTTTCTATGTTCACTTTCCTTCCTTCCTTTCTTCCTTCCTTTCTTTCTTTCTTTCTTTCTTTCTTTCTTTCTTTCTTTCTTTCCTTCTTTCCTCCCTCCCTTCCTCCCTCCCTGCTCCCCCTCCTTCCTTCCTCCCTCCCTCCCTTCCCTCCCTTCCCTCCTTCCTCCCTCCATCCTCCCTTCTTCCTTCACCCTCCCCCCTCCTTCCTTCCTCCCTCCTTCGAACATACTATGTAGCCCAGGCTGACCTTGAACTCACAGAGATCCACCTGCCTCTGCCTCCAAGTGCTGGGATTAAAGGTGGATATAAATACCAACATGCTTGACAGCATAACTAAGGGCTGCAGACAGGCAGCGTGGGCACTCTAAGGATGTTTCTGGATGCTACCCTGCTATTTCCTCCCTACACATCACAGGATTCCACAGAATGGCACACAAGAAAAAAATTCAATTATTATGATGATGGGAAATGTCTTTAGAAAATTCTGTATTAACACTAATGAGTTCGCATATATAGTATACTTTGTAGAAGTCCTTTGAATGCTCTCTCAAGGTATAACACATTTTAAATGCAAAATAAATTCTTAAATGGGCAGTGTCCCCATGTGAGTCCATGAGAGGCTATTACTTTCCTGGGAAATATGAATTTTTAAATCATGGTTTTTAACTTTTGAATATTTCTGTATACTATAGGGGCTTTTTTGGTAAATACTAATAGACCTTAAAAAGCAAATTCTATATTAGAAAAAGGTGAGAGCTGCAGAGATGGCTCAGTTGGTAAAGTATTTGCCACACAAACATAAGAACCAGACTTTGATTCCCAGCAACCATGTAAAAACAGTGGGGCATGGTGCTGCAACTCCTGGGACTCGCTGACCAGCCAGCCTAGCCTAGGTGAGTTCAAGGCCAGTGAGAGGACCTGTTTCAAAAAATATAAAAGTGCCTGAGGAACAACACGAGAGGTCACCCTCTGGGATCCCTGAATACATAGCACATGTATACACACACACACGCACACACACACACACACACACACACACACACACACACAGAAACATGGGGAAATCAGCTTCTGATGGTGGAACAGCTGCTAGAGTCCCCCCACCCCAACCCCCTGCCCCATTTGCACAGGTACCAAATTTCACCCTGTCCTGCCCAACTCTCAGGGGAATTGAGATTTAGAAAAGCCATGGTCAGTATGAAAAAAATTTAAAACAGCCCTCAAATACTGTGTTACTAGACTTTTGGATTCTGTTTCCCTCCTGCCACCTCAGGCATTGTGTTCTGAGTAACCAGCACATTAGCCCCTTGTTCAAAGCCTGCCCAGACAACACTGGTCAGGTCCCTCCCACAGCAGGGTGGGCCTTAGGGTTTTCTCATTTTTTCTTGTATCCTCAGTGCCTAGGACAGTACTTGGCATACACGAGGTGCTCCTTAAGCATTTGTCAGATGAATGAGCCTTCGGACCAATTTCTGAATTCTGATCTTATCTCTGGTTGTACTGCTGCTGCCCAAGGGATGGTCCGTGCTGACCAGATTTATGATTCAAAATTTTTTAAGCTTTATTTTTATGTTTTGCCTGCATGTATGATAGTGCATCACATGCATACAATGCCCGCAGGAGCAGAAGAAGGCACTGGATCCCCTGGAACTGGAGTTAATGATGGTTATTTGTTGCCATGTAGGTGTTGAGAACTGAACCTGCGTCCTCTACAAGAACAGCCAGTATCTTTAAAAAAAATTTTTTTTTAATTTATTGTTTTTTAATATGTATGAGTCTAATGCCTGCATAAGTGTAAGTGCACTCATGTTGTGCAGTGACAGCAGAGGACACAAGAGGGTGTTGGATTCCCTGGAACTGGAGTTACAGATGGTTGTTAGCCTCCGTGTGTGTACTGGGATTCAAATTTAGGTCTTCTTCAAGAACAGCCAGTGCTCTTAACCACTGAGCCATCTCTCCAGTCCAGAGCAGCTACTGCTTTTAACTACTGAGCCATCTTTCTCCAGCCCAAAGGTTGTTGTTGTTCTTAATTAAAAATTTCTGTATGATGTGTGTATGTGTGAGCATGGGCACATGTGTGTCTCAGCGTGCGTGTGGAGGCAGAGGACAACCTCTGGTGTTGCTTCTTGCCTTCCAACTTGTTTGAGACAGTCTATTTGCTGCTGCCTACTCGAGGCTACCTGGCCTGTGAGTGGCTAAGGATTCTCCTCTCTCTGCCTCCCATCTTACTGTAAGTGTGCTGGGACTGCAGACACATGCTACTGATGCTTTACCCACTGAGCAATCTCCCCAGCCCAGGAGGTTTATTTTTAAAAATTTGGTCCTTATTAAGAGCGTGTCTAGGCAATTTAGGCAGAATTAGGAACCGAGATTCACCTGTCTTTGTGGTTGTTAATGTTCCAAGGTTAAAAATAAGGCCCAGAGCAAAATACCCTTCATAAGTTATATTCTGTGCATGCAGATTTGAGTGGGTGGAATGGTGTCAGTTTAAGTGCATATCACAAATGCCATCAAATATCTGCACTTTTTTTGTGACTAAATAAAGCCAGTGGAGGAGGGGCTTACAGGGACTCTAATGACAGTCGCTCACAGGATGTGGAGGCTGTGGCTTCTCTCTGCAGCTTCAGTTGCTGCATAGCCTGGCCCCAGCCTTTTCTAATCCATGTGCATTTCCTTTCTGACACATTCTGAGAGTCGGCTCACCTCTTGTACTACTCAGATTCCATCATCATTAAACAGGGTCAAGCTGCTGAGTGAGAATAATTATAGCAAAAGTTACCATCCTCGGGTGCTTGCTAGAATGTTCTGGGCCCTAAGGCACAGTGCTGTGCCACTTATTCTTCACTTTGCCTCTAGGAAATAGGTGTCACTTTCTTTATTTTATAGATGAGAAATATATTTCAACCCTGTACTATGTATTTGGACATACTACAGAAACTTAGAACTGGAAAGGGCCTAGAAAAAACAGTGCTGGCCCCAGTGTCTAGGAAAGACAAAAATCACACTGACAGGTGAGTGACCAATTTTATACCTGATTGTCACAGAAGGGTGATGTCTTGACCCCCTGGGTTGAGTCTAAACACATAACCCACAATAAATCAGAATTGCATTCTGACAGGTCTGACTTAAATATAACCTGAAGTTTCCCATCACTGTGACCCCTTGTTTCTTTAAATGGAATTTCTCAAGACTGGAGTACAGCTAATTTTCTCCAGTCCTTTTTTTTTTTTTTTTGCCTGAAGACAATGACTTCATTGCTTCTTATTTTCCTTTGTCTAAGTGAAGCAACTGTCAAATGTTTGAACTTATCTCGGATGCATTTTTCCAGTTCTCTTGTGCTGTTCTCTGAGGTTTCCACATGAATGGAGAGCCCAGAATCATGCTGGGGCAGTGCCAACTGGAAGGGCACATTGCTGGGGCCAGTATGTCCTTTGAAATGGAGCCTCCATGGACAGGGTGTTGTAAAGCTCTGCAAAGATTTAATCCCACGTGGTTTACTAGGGAATGCAATGCACTGAGTTTAATCTTTAATCTAAGAAGGTGTAAGTGGATGCCTTTTCCTTTATAAAATGTGGACCTTGATATAGTTGAAGTTACAAAATCAGCCTACTTATCTATTTATTTATTTATTTAGGGGTGTGTGTGTGTGTCTGTGCACACGCTCATTCCTGTGTGTGGATTGTGTATGCACATGGCCAAGCAGATGGATGCCAGAGGTCAACACTGGGTGTCTTTCTCAATGGCTTTCCACCTTATTTTTTGAGACAAGGTCTCTTGCTGAACCCAGAGTCCATCCATTCAGTTAGGCTAACAGGCCAGTGAGCTCCAGGGATCCATCTGTCTCCACTCCTCCTCTTCCCCCAAGCAATGGATTACAGATCCATTTGTGCACTGCATTTGTCCAAATGTGCACTACTGTGCTTGGCTTTTACATGGGTGCTGGGGATCTGAACTCAGGTGTTCATGCGTGCACAACAGGCACTTTACTGACCAAGCCACTTCCACAGCCCCAAATTTTAGGGTTTGGAAACAGGTTTTCATGTAACCCAGATCACCTTTGAATTCAGTGTGTAGCCAAGGATAGCCTTGAATTTCTGATCCTCCTGCTTCTACCCTCCAAGTCCTGGGATTACAAGTGTGTGCCACCACACTTGATTCTACCATTTTTTAATCATACAGTGACTACCACGTGACTATCTAAACACCATTTCCATCTGGTCTCAGGATTTAGTATCTTTAGAGCCATCAAAGCTATAGCCATCAAAGCACCAACAAAGTAAACTCAGCCTCAGGTCCTGAGCTGTGAGCCTGGACAACCAGCTCAACTTCTCCAGGCTCAATCTCCTCAACCATAAAACAAGAGTCACAACCATCTCCATCTCATGCATCCTAGTGGAATTCAACAAGAAAACGAGTACAAAGGGCTTATTCAGTTCCTGGCTGACAGTAATAAAACATTTATCACTGTACTGTGCTAACTAGGATGACCTTGATTTTGAAGGCAAGGAAATACAGTGTTATACTCTCTTCTAAGACTTCTGAATATGGGCAAAATACATGGATAAAAACTGTTATGAGGAATGACCTGCCCACCTACCGCAAAAGCACGCTTAACAGAGGGCACGTTGCTGAAGGCAATCACCACAGGCATGATGTCCAGGGCACTGAACTCCATGGTAGCCGTGGTGATGGACTGGGCATCGGCCGACTGACCACCACTGAAAAACGTGGCGATTCTTCTCACATGAGACCCCGGAAGGGTTCGCTTGAAGACATTCCTGGAGATAAACCTCATGGCTTTGCCAATCTCCCTGCCATCTGAGGATCTCTCATAAGGAAGAGCTTCAATTTCTTTGAGCAAGTGGTCCTTCCCGTGGGCGTCAGAGAAGCGGATGAGGTGCCTGGTGTGGGAGTTGTAGGCAAGGACGGCAACACGTGCACCCACGGGGCAGCTATTCTCCCTGACCTTGATGTCCCTGACCAGAGAGGCCATCATCCTCTTCATGCGCTCAAAATCCACCTCTGTGACATCCCGAGACTGGTCCAGGACAAACACCAGCTCAGTTGGATGCACTGGGCACTCAGGTTTTCCTGAAAGACAAAAGTAAGCCTCTTATCACATAGTATATTTGTCAGTCTAAAAGAAATATGTGGAAAGCAAAGTAATTTTAAATGCTAATGATCAAATATTTAAACATTGAAAAATTAATAACAAATATTAAAATAAATACAAAATATTAAATGTTATATCTTGGGTCATCAAAATTGCTGCTCAAAAAAGCTGAGTTTGCTCCTTTCAGGCAAGCACTAAAAACAAGTCTAGAATTCAACTTGATTTGTTATTAAATTTGTAAGTTAATTACCCAATTTCTTCTAAATAGTACAATCCTCTTAGAAATGGCCTTTTACTTGCATGGCTCAGCTCAAAGGCATCATCTTTTGTCTGTACTTTCCTCAGGACACAACATAAATGTATTTTACTTAATGAGGAAAACACAAAGGTAAAAGGAATTTAAAAAGAAGGGCTGTGAAGCCTCCTTTGCTAATTAAACAAAACCAAACCACAAAACTGTAGGATGAGGGAATGGATGTAGCTCAGTTGGTAGAGTGCTTGACTAGCATACACAAAGCCCCGGGTTAGATCCCCAGCACCACATAAACTGGGTGTGCTGGTACATGCCTACGATCTCGGTACTTGAGAGGTAGAGCCAGGAGGGGCAGAAGTTCAAGGTCATCTAGGACAGCACAGTAAGTTGGAAGCTAGTGGAAGCTACATGGAACTGCCTCCAAAGCAAAGCAAACAACAGCCAGGGGATACAAGTCAGCAGCAGGACCCTTGACCAGCACATATAAGGTCCTAGGTTCAATCCCTAGTAGTGGAAAACAAACAAACAAACAAAAAAATCACCACCAAAACCTGGAAGATAAATAGCAGAAAGTATCTGAAACCAAGCATTAAATGTAAGGCGAGTAGGCAGTAGAAATTAGGGTTTAGCCTTGATCCAAGTGTCCACTAAGAAAGTAGGCAGTAAAAGGGTTTAGAGCTTTGACCCAAGTACTTGCTAACTATGACAGCATGGCCAAATTACTTATCCTCTCTGAGCCTGTTTCCTTACCTGTAAAATGTGAGTCCATACCATAGGCACAGGTCTGTGGTGAGGAATGAATAAACCAACACAGGCCCAGCCTTGGAGCAGGTGCCTGGCACACCTCACACCTCGGTAAATGTTAGTGCCGCTATTCTTATTACAGATGCTTCCGTGATGGGAGGAGGAAAGCGCTAACTGAAAACTCGTTCATTAACAGTTAAAAAAGTAAGCTAACCAATTAAGATGCCTTACTATGTTGAGAAATTTTGAATTATGCTTATCAGACGCTAATCCATTCACTGTGGAGCTGTGCACATTATCCGTTAGTTCCAATTCATTCGTTCTACCTCCAGTGCCCTGCATTTACCACAGCTGACAATTTCTGTTTGATTACCTGATTAACGTGTTCCTTCCATTAATTTATGATGTATGTAACAAGGATGACAGTTGACCTTCTAGGGTAGCTCCTGACATGAGAGCTAATACATGTTGAACCACCGAAAAAGAGTAAACAAGGGCCGGGCGTGGTGGTGCACGCCTTTAATCCCAGCACTCAGGAGGTAGAGGCAGGCGGATCTTTGTGAGCTGGAGGCCAGCCTAGTCTACAGAGCGAGTTCCAGGCCAGCTGGAGCTATAGGGAGACCCTGTCTCAAAAAGACCAAAAAAAAAAAAAGTGATTCTTCATAACAGAGAGAGCTTTAATCAGGTGTGAGATGCCTAAATTGGAGAATGTCATAAAAGGAATGATGTATTTCCCCAGGATGAGTTCCTGGTCTCATTCAATGGGAGCAGGTTGGATGCAGAGGTAATAAGCACAGCTGGGGATGTAGCTCAGTGGACGAGCACTTGCCTGGCAACCACAAGGCCCTGGGTTCCATCCCATGTAACACACACACACACACACACACACACACAATCAATCAATCAATCAATCAACCAACCAATCAATCAATCAATCAATCAGTTTAACAGAGATAAAAAGCACAGTGTGATGGCCACCAGCTCCTCAACTCAGCTCAGGAACTCAGGATGGCTGGAACCGCCCAACTGGCAACGGAGCAGCCTTCTGCTGTGGGCCATTCAGGCCTTTGCCTCCTGGCACAGAATTACCATCTCCTTCTGGACACTGACTCCATGAGCTTCACAGGCAAAGGGAATGATCACAAGGCCAGGGAAAGCAAATGTTCAAATCCAAATCGAATTGTTCATCTCAGTAGAGGCAGAACATAATTTATTAGCCCTTGAATCTAATTAGTGGGATGAACAGATTTTTCAAAATCAAGGTCATGTTAGTTTTATAATTTTTAAAATGAGTAGAATCCTGACCAAACATGGAATTGGTGCACCTAGCTTGGCTTTATGTTTAGGCTGTTGTTTGCATAAGGTATGAAAATAACATTTTGGATGTAATTTAGACATAAGGGAAGAAAAGATTAATAGCCTTGGCTGAAAATCTGGAGAAAGTCCGACTTTTCAGGAAAAGAACACTTACAGCTTATTTTTAGTACAACCTTGAACCCAGCAAGCTTTCAGGCATCTCCTCCCGAGGATTCTGGAAAACACAGTGCTGCTGCCTGCTGCCTGTCACAAAACAGGTGATGTCTCTGCCTGGACACCCAACATCTGCTGACTGAAATGGTATAGCTTTCATACTGACCCCTTCCTCTAATCTATGTCCCTGCAGAAGCTCAAGTGAACTTTAAAACTCTCACTCATCAGGTCATGGCCCTGCGTTTAGTGTTTTCAACAAACTCCTTAAATTGCCCCATCACAATTCTATCAAAATCCAGCCCCTTTATTATAACTTGCAAAGCCAAGCTTGATAAAGCTCTGTATCTGTCTCCATTTTTTTTTTACCATGCCAATCTCTTTTCCTCACTGTGTATTAGTGATAATGGGCTCTGTCAGTTCCTAGAAAATATCTAGGTCTGCCCTGTTTCAAGCCTTTTGTACTGATGCTTGCAAAGCTGTGGCTCCTTTAGTCCAGACTTCAAGTTCACTGCTCAAAGAAGCTCTCTGGTCCAAAGAGCACCTCTCCCTCCCCTAACATTATTCTCTTACAGACCATCCTATGCTTTATCACATCCTCAGTAAGCACAGGATTCTGAATTCTTTCATCTGGACCCTTCATGAGAATGGAAGTTTGTAAGGACAGGAATCTTGTCTATTGTTCAGCTGTGACCTCAGTGTTCAAACAGAGACTAGTGCATAGAAGACTTGAGAAATACTTGCTGAAGGAATAAGCAAACAGAGGGCAAAGGTTGATGAATTATTTTTTAATATTTTAAAAATATTTTATTTTTTTTTTTTTATTTTATGTGTATGAATGTATTGCTTGAATGTATGTTAGTGCATCTGTGTCATGCAATGCCCATGAAGGTCAAAAAAGGGTTTCAGATCCCCTGGAACTGGAGTTACAAATGGTTGTTAGCTGCCATGTGGGTGCTGGGAATCAAACCCTGATCCTTTGCAAGAGCAACCAGTGCTGTTAACCACTGAGCCATCTCTCCAGTTCCTAATATTTTATTTATCATTTTAATTTTTTATGTGTATAAGTGTATGCATGTAAGTGCACCCAAGTCATGCAGTGCCTGCAGAGATCAGAAGGTGCTGGATCCCCTAGAACTAGAGTTACAGATGGTTGTTAGCCACCATGTGAGTGCTGGGAACTGAACCCTAATCGTTGGCAAGAACATCCGGTACTGTTAACCACTCAGCATCTCTCCAGTCCCCATGGTTGGTGAATTTGTATAAAAATTAGAAGGTTATAGATCAAGCTGATGATAGGTTTATATAAAGATATCATGTAAAGAGACATTGTTAAAATACTTACAAACACAACTGAACAAAACTGAGCCAGGTTGTAATTAACAGTAACCTAAGCTCCAGCATTATCTTGGCTGCACTCTTCCCTCACTCCTTATTTGATCACCCTCTGCATCTTAATCCTTAATCTCAGAGAACTACAGAGAAGACAGGACAGAGAGAGGGGGAGGGAGGGAGAGTGAGAAGAGAAGGAGAGAGGAAAGGAAAAAGAGGTAGGAGAGGAGGGAGAACACCATTATAAAAAAAAATCAAATACAAAGGTGAATGGTGATGTTTGTCATTGAGAATGTTAACAATAAAAGAGCCTTCCAGTTGGCTGGGAAATAGCAGCGAAGGTCAGCTAAAGCTGGATGAGTCATTAGAGGCAGGAGTCTGCTACCAGCGTGAGGCAGCAAAGGAATCCCAGATACAATTTCTATCAGCTGTCAGGAGGCACAATGCTCAAACTTCTTTTCCTAGATGTGTGACACTTCAGAGCTTGAGTAAAACATGCTTAAATAAAGATTACTCACCATGTCTGCCAGCTGGGAAGAAGAACAAAGGAGAGTGGGTTATTATTTGGTGACACGTTCTTCAGGGTTCTATACTGCACAGGAAAATGAGCAGTGAGGGTCTACCCTGTCTGCTTATACACTGAACTCAACATCAAGGCAAAAGATGATTTGGAGAGCACGCAGACTGAGCCCAGCATCTTGGGAGAGCACTAATCATTCCAGACTGGGGGGATGGGAAGTAGACAATCTACAGCCATAAATCCACCATAACTCAGCAGCCTGAAGTCAGCTGCTGGAGGTAGGGAACCTCTGCCTGGGAGGGAATGCTATACTGAAGGAGCTGGGCTCAGACTGTCATGAGACAGCCTGAACTACTCTTTACAATGTTTCCATACACATAACTATAGCTATACATACGTGTATATATACATACCTACGTTCACATAAATACACACACATATACACACATATATTTGGTTTTGTTTATTGTTGAGTTTTCCTGTTTCTTTGCAGGGAGGGATGTGCTGGGAATCAAGCCCAGGGCCTGTCAAATTTTCTCATGTTAGGCAAGTACTCTACTACTAAGCGACGTCCCCAACCCCAAAGGCTTGAAGCTCAATTTTACTTGTGTCTTCTACAGTGCTGGATATTGAGTCCAGGCCCTTGCCCAGGCAAGCACTTGCTAGGGAAGTGCTCTACCAGTGACTTACATCCTGAGCTCAAACACACACACACACACACACACACATACAGGTAAGTATAAATTTTGAGTATATGTTTCTAAATAAGTGTGCCTATCTGTTCATGTTCATATATGAATATCTCTTACATGAAATGCTTGGGACTACAGGTGTTACAGATTTCAGATTCTTTCAAAATTTGGAATATTTGCATAATAAGATCTCTTGGAGTTGTGATCCAATTCTATACATGTGATTCATTTATGTTTCATATGCACTTGCGTGCACAGTCTGAATGTGATCTCATACACTGTTTTTAGTGTACCTGTGCTTTGGCCTCATCACGTGAGGCGAGGTGTGAACTTTGCCACTTGTTGCAGTGTTGTTATGCCAAGATTATAATTACCAGAACAAATAAAAGTCCAACTCTTAAATTTAGTTTTTAAGAGTAGGCCCAAACCTGAAGATCACCCGTTCCCCTAGACATCTCTTGGAACTGTCTGTCTGCTGGAACTGTGCTGATGGAACTGTGCTGTTGGAACTCTGTCCCTGAAGCTGTGTGTCGAATCTGGCCCCACTCATAATTTTATTCAAAATGTTTTTTCCAGCTTCAATTGGGGAAGTACAAGCTTGGCTCCACCCTAGTCTCAGCAGACCATCCTGCTCTTTTCATCCCTTGATCTAGAATATGTCATTCATCTGACATCACAAATCCTTCCCAATCTCCACTGTGTCCAATGGAAATGGGGCGCCACCTTTCAGGGTGTTGATATGCTAATTCTCAATCATACCCACATCCATCCATTCATTCATTCAGATTTGTTTGGGTGGAATACCAAATTGAGAATGCCTAGGAAATGAGATCAGGTGTCAAGGTTATAAAACACAAAACCACGTGGTTTTACTGCGGTTAATTAAAAGCCGTTAGTCCAGATTATGTCATTCCCACAATTTGTGACATTATGCCAGCATTCAGGACATTTGGGATGTTGCAGATTAGGGGTGGTCAACCAGTATGTGCAGCATGCTGACTTAGTATATAATTATCAGTGATAGACTTACTCTGAAAGAATAAAACATTTGCTGGACCTGCACTGTCTAGCTATAAACTAGGGGTAGTTACTTAAATTTCTACTAATTGAGTGACATTAAGGTTTAACTTCTCAGTAATGCTATTCGCATTCAAAGCCTCATGCAGCTGGTGGCTATGCTGTGCAGTGCTGTGGGTCCCTCCACCGTGGCGGAGTGCTCTGTTGGGCAGTGTGGCTTTGGGCCACTCACTTGCAGAGACCCTGACCACATTCACAGGATCATGTGCTCTTCTAAAATGGGCAGAAGTTATTAACTACTTTTGTGTTCCAAACAATACTTTGTTTTTGTTTTTTTGACAGAGTCTTCCTATTTCCGGCTCACCTGGAAGTCACTATGTGGACCAGGCTAGCCTCGGTCTGACAGATTTGCCTGCCTCTGCCTCTTGAGGGCTGAGATGGAAGGCAAGCACCACCATGCTCAGCATCTAAACAATACTTTTGAAATCATTTTGTGTACCTTGGACCAGTCTTGCTCTTTGGAATCCCTCGTATTTGAAAGGTCAGGCCCTACTCTTATCTCTGTCTCTTAGTCATTACTGTTCACTTGGCATCCATGTCAGAAAAAAAAAAGCCTACTATGCTAATTCAGCCAGAGGACAACCAGTCTTCCTAAACCCAACATACAGACTTGGATTCTCATTATGGCTCCACTCTGCTACAGAAAGGCAGACTCCAGATCAGGAGGACTAATAGCGTCCAGAACTGTTAAGTTCTGTGCCTCTAGGGCTAGAGAGAGATGGCTCTAGCGATTAAAAGCGCTGGCTGCTCTTGTGGAGGGCCTGGGTTAGGTTCCCAGCACCCACAAGGCAGTTGTAACACGAATTCCAGGAAATCTTACACCCTTTTCTAGCTTCCAAGGGGACACCTGCATGCACACCCATACACTCAGGCACACACGTAAAGTAAAAGGATTAAAAAAATCCTGTGTCTCTGAACAGCACTCTCTACAGAAATGGGCTCACTTTATCAGTTTTCTCCTCCAAATGCCTTGAAGAAACTTGGATCTCTCCTTTCCATCACTGTATTAACTTGGAAGAATTATATATATTTAAATGGACATTCAACAGGATGAAGGTGCATGTGAATATAGTATTACAGCATCAACTAATATTTATAATAACAAAGATATATTCTGTTATGAGGGTCTTAAATTCAAGAAGGATTTTGCCAAATCAAAAGGGTTTTTTGCTTCTTAAAATTGTGAGAGAAAAATCATTGGCAGAATAAACATTATTATGAGTTTTATAAGTAAGCCAATCAGTCCAATCAAACACATTTTCCAGGAATAGAGTAATAGACCATAAAGCAAAGTTGGGGATCTTACATACTAGGACATGTTGGCACAGCTGACCTTCATCCTGCTGAACTCCATCCTGTTAGTTGCTGTCCAGCACTATTAGTCATTTAAAACAAAGCTCAGTGTGAATCTTCTCTGATTGATTTCACCATTAGGAAAGTCTTGACCTCAAACCTCAATCTTCCCCAGGTTAAAAGCAGCAGGTCTATTACTGCACGGTGTTTGGAACGGGTCCAACAGACACCCTGGCGGGCAGAGAGGGAGTTAATAGCACCATCCAGGCTGACTCAACATTTATGCATTGACATCTCTAATGTTAAGAAATTGTCTAGTAGATTGCTTTCATTCTAAGAGCAGTATCCTTGCCTTCCTTCCAAGAAAGCTGCTTTAAACAGGGTACTTACGGCTGTGGTCCCGCACATACTGAATGAGGTCACATGTCTGCAATTCAAAAATAAAACAGGAGATTACCAACAGATCACTGGATCACAAAGTTTCAATATAGATAAAGTTCATGGTGTGCTCAGAGCACTGTGTTGGAGTGAGGGGGTACGTACGGAGAATGAAGCCAGTCCTCTGGCTCCTTTCACGCCCTGTGGAAGGAAATGAACAAAATGTCTTTTATGGCTACAGATAAATACCTCAGAAGCCAAGATGTGCACCAACCTTGCCCTGAGAAAGCAAGAGCTTTGAAAGAGATTACTCCTATCAAGATCGACGGAGCAGAGAATACAGGTAGGGCACGTTTCCCCCAGTTAAGAAGAGCATGCTTGGGCTGGAGAGATGGCTCCGCAGTTAAGAGCACTAGCTGTCTTGCCAAGGACCCAGGTTCAATTTCCCAGCACCCACATGGTGGCTAACAACCATCTGGTAACAACCATAACTCCAGTTCCAGGGGATCTGATGCCCTCTTCTGATCTCCGTGGGCACTGCATGACGTGGGTGCTCTTACACACATGCAGGCAATACATTCATACACATTAGGAAAAAAAAGAAAAGAAGAAGAGAGTGCTGAAGGCTGGAGAGACGGCACAGTCATTACGAGCACTTGCTGCTTTCTAGAGGACCTGGGTTCAGTTCTCAGCACTTACATGGTAGCTATACCTGGGTGTAACTCCAGTTCCAGGGGATCTGACACTTTTCTGGCCTCTGCATGCACCTGGTACACTTACATACTTGCAAGTAAAACACACACACACACACACACACACACACATATATATATATATATATATATATATATAATGAATTGGAGACATGGCTAAGTGGTTAATGAGGACCTGAGTTCTGTTCCTTGCACCCACATCCAGCAGCCTTACAGCGACCTGTAACTCCAGCTCCAGGGACCCGATGTTACCCTCTGCATGAACACTAGTAGCAGGCATTCATACAGACACACATGTACACAAGTAAAATAATAAAAGTAAATCTTAAAAAAAGAACACACAGTGCATACACAGTCTTTAAAGGCCATTAAGGCCTGTAGAGCTCTAAAGCAGGTATTCAGCTCAGAACTAGCAAAGGCTGAACAATGTGTGCTTGGGCACCCCTCCTGTGGCTGAGTTTTGGAGTCTGCACCCCCATGCCCTAGCTCTACCACAGGCATCAGCCAGAGCTGAGCCTCAGCCTATTCCCACTCATGAGTAGAGGACAAAGGACCAGCCTCAAACTGAACCTGAAAGGCTATCTCAGGTTATATATCCAGCTGGCTTCCAAAATGGGTATATACTCATATACGGCTGGGCTGGGGACAGAAAGGACAAAGTAGAGTTGCCCTTACTTTTAATGTGTTCAATCCCATCCTTGCAACAGAAGGAGTCTGGCTGTTCTCAGAGGGGGGGGTGAGAGGGAGGGAGGAAGGGAGGGAGGGAGGGAGAGAAAGACACCCAAGAAAATGCAGTGGTATCCCACCCAAACTCCCCAAGCAACAACATGCTCCATGTGAATGCAACTTGGGTCACCACGTACTCTTTCACATCTGTTCATCCACTGATCACTCTCTATGTAGAAGGAAGGCGATGATTAGAAAGATAAACCAAAGTGATTCAAAAGAGTGAGAAACCTTGGACAGGCAGCTGCTTTGGTGGCAAAAAGGGCTTGCCGTCAAGCCTGACGACCTGAGTTTGATCCCTGGATTCCACATGATGGAAGGAGAGAATTGACTCCTGTAAGTTGTCCTCTGACCTCCCAAAACACACGTGCATGCACACACACACACACACACACACACACACTAATAAATAGGTAGATAAATGAATAAATAAATGTAAAAGTTTAAAGACTGAGAAATCTCATTTTAGTCTGATTCTCTCATTTCATCCCACCTTTCCTTCACCTCCCAAGAAACACATTTAATTGTCTCTCTTTCCTCCCTTCTCAGAGCACATCGAATAGTGAAAAACACGGCCAAGCAGCAGAAGCACCAGGCATGCACATGTGACAATGGAGTTTGCATGCGTTGACTTTCAAGATACAAAAAAGTTCCAGTGTAATTTGTTCTCTCCCTACTTACCTTCCGTCCAGGAGGTCCTGGGTCCCCAGGGGATCCTGGCTGTCCTGGAATCCCAGCAGATATCTCAAAGTAGAATTAATTTATTTTTAAAATTACCTTTTATACATATATGGAGGATTTACATTCAGATTTACAATATTTCAAAGTTAAAGTCCCAAAGTGAAAAACTCACTTTCTTCAAATGGTACTTGTTAGCATTTTAGTTACTCTCATGTTCTTTTGGTATTAAGATACTTTCTTTCTTTCTTTCTTTCCTTCTTTCTTTCTTTCTCTCTTTCTCTCTTTCTTTCTTTCTCTTTTCCTTCTTTCCTTCCTTCCTCCCCCCTCTCTTTTATATTCATTTATTTATTTATTTTTAAATAAGGGCCTCACTGTGTAGCCCTGGATGGCCTGGAACTCACAGAGATCTCCCTGCCTCTGCCTCCTGAGTGCTGGCATTGAAGGCATGCGCCACCACACCTGGCTGAGATACAGAGTCTGTTTAAAAAACTGATTTCTAGCATGCTTTTTCCTGATGCTTCATTTTTCTTTTTGTTTCTTTGATACAGGGTCTTTCTATATAGGTGATTTGGCCTTGCATTCATGATCCTCCTTCCTCTGCCTTCCAAGTGCTGGGATTATGGGTATAATCCACGCCTTCCTGCTACCTTTTAAACTAAATATATATTTGGACATTTTTGTGTTACTAAACAATCTTTTTCTAAAAATATTATTTTTATTTTAGTTATTATTTTTATTTTATTGTGTATGCATGTATTGTGTGTATGTAGGTAAGTGCACCCATGTTGTGCAATGCCTGCGGAGGACAGAAGAGACTGTCAGATCCCCTGGAACTGGAGTTACAGACAATTGTGAGCTGCCATGTGGGTGCTGGGATTTGAACCCGGTCTTCTGCAAGAACAGTCAGTGTTCTTAACCACTGAGCCATCTCTTCAGCCCCGGACTAAACAACCTTTTGCAAAATTACTTTCATAGCTGCATGGTATTCTATTTTTTGGTATACCATAATTTATTTAATCGGTCCCTTACTGCTGGCATTTAAGTTTGGCATTATTAGCAGACAATGCTATTATAAAATTGTATGCACACTTCCGATTATTGGAAATATTACTAAGACTGACTGGAATTGTTGGATCAAAGGAAAATGTTTTTCTATGAAACATGAAGGTAACCAGCTGAAAAACAAAAAATTTGTGGCCATGTGCTAAGTCACAAAAATCTATGGAAAAAAACCCACAATAACCTTAAAATAGTAATAATAGAAACACTTCACAGTTGGTGGAAATATTTGTAATATTTGAGGATAATAACAATAAAAAAGTTGTAATCTGTTTTACTTTGTCAGAAGGTTTTCCACATGCATTCAATAACACAGCTTAATCCCAGAAAAAACCCTAGAATTTAGTTTTTTAAAAATGGAATAATATTGTTTTCTGTGTTCAAAATGCCAGAGGACTTATAACCTTTACAGTCATAAGGAAGTTATGTATGTAAGGAAAAGAGGCAGCTACTAGCTTTAACACCGTGGAAGCCGGAAAGCAGTTGTGAGTGTTAGATGGCCCAGCAGACTTGAGGAATCTAAGCCCTGAGAATGCAGCAGGGAAAGCCAAGACCCAGCGTGCTGGGATCACATTCCTGGGAGGCTCCTGCTTTGGCAGTGCCCAGTACTTCCAGAAGCAGAGGTGAGGGGAAGAGGTTAAATGAGGGGGATTAGTGGAAAATCACTTTAGGGTTCCCAGGTCTCTATTTTCACTAGGTGGATGGATATCCTTTTCTCCAGAACAATAAACCAATATAAAACTGAAGTGGACCTGTAGGCAGAGTGGAGGACCAATGATGCACACTGTACCAGGAGACAATAAAAAATGCCCAGTGAGAGTGAGCCTCCAACTCTCTTTGTCCACATCCTCTGGAAAGCTGCCTTCTAGAACTGTAGTCTCCAGGAAGGGTGGGAAAAGAGTTCTTACAGGGGACTCTAACTAAAGAAGAAAGATAGAAGAATACTGGTATGAAAGGTTTGTTCAACAGAGAGCTCCACCAGATCATTGTTCAGTGAAATTTGTATCTGACAAACTTAGAGCTTCTAATCATGCTGTTTGTCCTCAATTCTTAACACAGATGCCTGGCTCATTCTAGAGACAGAAATGAAACAAATGCCAAAATTGAAGAAAAAGAAAACCTGCAAGAAATGCTTGGAAAAGAAGATCTAAAAGTGTCCACCTATAGCCTCAGAAGGATAATAAGATACTTTAATCATGAAAGGAGAGCAGCGTACTGTAGAAAAGGAAAAGACACTTGAAAACTAACACAGGAGAGATAAATTATAATAAAGTCAAGGGACCTCTCTATAAGGAGATAGAAACACCAGTGAGATACACAAAAGGAAGCAAATTAAAGGGCTATATTAATACACTAAACAGCATTTTGAAAATATAAAGGGGGGGGCACAACAAATCAACAAAATAAAAAGCATCCTTAGAACTGAAGGCTATGCATTTCCAGTGTCAAGGGGTCTACTTAATACCCATGAACTGTACACTCCCCAATATGCTAGGTCACTGTGGTGGTTTGAATGAGAAGCATCCCCCATAGGCTCAAGTATTTGAACACGTGGTCAATCAGTCACTATTGGGGAGGTCATGGAATCTTTAGGAGGAAGCACAACACTGGAGGCAGGCTTTGAGAAGTCGTAGCCTTGCTCATTTCCAGTTTCACCCTGTTTCCTATGTGCTCTTGAAGCTGTGAGCCCTCAGCTTTCTGCTCTGGCTGTCTCCTGTCATGCCTCCCCACTATGATGGGCTCTTATCTCTCTGGAATCATAGGTCTAAATAAACTCTTTCTTCTATAAATTGTCTTGGTCATGGTGTTTTATTACAGCAACAGAAAAGTAACTAATACAATCACTAAACCCATGACATATCAAAACACCAGAGACTGAGAGAAGATCTAGTGGTATTCTAGAGAGAAAAACTGCTGCATAAAGATGAATGGGGGTCTGAGTAGGCTTGCCCTCAGAAAGCAACAAAAGAAGCCAGAAATCATAGAAAACGTGACTGTCTTCAAATTTCAATGAATTACTTCCAAACCAGAACTGTACACTCCCCCAAATATTGACATATCTGGAGGTAATGAAGTCATTTTAAGAAATTGTCTTCATAAAAAACAAAAATGTACCTTTTCATTCAACAGTTCTTAGCAGCCTGCAAGGGTTTGAATGTGAAATGAACACCCAGGCTCACACTTTGAGCCCTTGATGTCAGTTCGTGGCCCTATTTTGGGAGGTTCTGGAACCTTTAGGAACTGAAGTTTAGATGAAGTTACTGGGATATAATTTGGAGGTAAGGCTGGAACCCCAGCCTGCTTCCTTTCCATCTGCCTCCCACCATCATGCTGTTCAGCCTCAAAATGAGCCCAGGAACATGAACCAAGTGACAAAAGACCATATCCTCCGACACTGTGAGCCACAGCAAACCTTTCCTCCTTCTGATTTACGTAATGTCTTGTCACAGTGATAAGGAAAGTAATGGGTACAAAGCTCCTGGTGAGCTTTCCATGAAGAGAAATTCAGGAGGATCTGGGAATGGAAATGAGAGAGCGGAGAGGAACCCAGAGCCGAGGTGCAGGGCAGCTGGCAGCTAGCACTGGGCAACAGGGAAACCAGATCAGGCCGGTCAGGATTAAATTTGATAGATCTGCTATATCCAAATGTCTTTGGTGGCAAGTGTCTTTAACTGCTGAGCCATCTCACCAGCTCCAAACGTCTTCAGTAGGTATTTAGATCAATGTCAAGTTAACAAGAAATCAGGAACATTCAGAGTAGGAAGTCAGTTCATATTGCCTAGAACTCAAACATCAAAAAGCAGGAATACGGACAGACTGTCGATTCCAAAGCAATTGTTTGGAATGAAAGCGGTTGTTTCTGGAAGAAGGAAATGGGAGGAGGAGGAGGGATGCAGGGATTCCTTTTCTCTTTCAGTGCTGGGAACAACAAGCACTATATCCACACAGCCCCAGTCTGGGATTGCCATTTTTAAAAATTTTTTTCAGATGACAGATAAATGGTATTTTAAAGAATGGAAACTTATGAGGCTGCACGACTCTGTAAGCTCAATGGAAGTGTTTAGTGGGATAGAATTTTGCCACCCCATATGGCAATATCTGGAGGCATCTGGTTGCTCTAACTAGGGGAAGAGGGTGATGCTGGAATCTAGTGGGTAGATACCATGAATGCTATTAAAATACCCAATAGTGGACAGGGAAACTCATAGCAAAGGATTCTGGCCCAAGATGGCAATAGTACCCAGGTTGAGGAAACCTGCTTTGTACAAAGTTTTGAGGTTTTTTTTTTAAGCATACATACAAACATGCAATTATGTACAAATAGAATAAGTTAAAAAAATTTCGAGACAGAGTCTCACTATGTAGCCCTGGCTGGCCTAGAACTCTGTATGTAGAACAGGGTAGCCTTGAACTCACAGAGATCCACTTGCTTCTGCCTCCTGAGCACTGGGATTAAAAGCATGTACCACCATGCCGGGCAGGTTTTAAAATTTTAAAGAGAAATATCAAGGTGAAGATTTAGAGAACACAATAAGGATACAATAATTCCAAGGAAACTGAAGAGACCTTTATAATTTAAGGCAAAATTTTTATTCTCAAATCTTCCCAGAGAAACTTCTGTTCCTTTGGAGAGAAACCTGGAAGTTTTCAATGTTTAAGTTTCAACTTCAAATCCAAAAATTACTCATGTCAAGGGGGGGAAATGCAGCTGGAGAGAACTAGCAAGTCATAAGCAGTCCAAGAAGGAGAACAGAACAGGCCCACAGAGTATTTCCAGGGGCCAAGACACCAGGCTTGCATGTTTCCCATCAGTTAATTGTATTACTTATAAAAGATGAATGTGCCGTTGTAGGGAGGGGACCCAACAAATGGCTGAACTCATTAGCATGCCGCTCATGCTTAAAGTCCAACTACTTCATTAATAAGCTAAGGGAAATGATCCAGAGATATTTCAGTGAAGATGACAGCTGGATTAATTTGAAAGTCTTTTCCAGTTATTTTTCTAATTATATTCATCTTCATCATTTTCGAAAACAAGATGATAAAGGATTGCCATCCGAAATCACGTAGGAGGAGAAGAATTCTAGCTGGAAGCAGTACCCTGGGGAGCAGGATGGGGGCAAGGAGCAGTCTCCTTATTTTGAACCTTAAAACATACAAACATAATCTCTCTACATATGGTTCTTATTATAGCTTGAAGGGAGGAAAACCAGATCAGAGTGAAATGAACTGGGACGGCAAACTGGAAAACCATCTCGAGTATCAATTTTTGTATCAGAGGTTTTTTTAAATTCTTGCTCACGGACAAGGTCATAGGCCAGTTCTTCTGATCGAGGCTGTTCTGAAGCAAAAGAGGCAAAGACTTTGAGAGACATTTACCTTAAGACTGTTAAAAACAAAACAAAAACCAAAAAAAACCCCACCTGACCAGGTGTGCCTTTAATCCCAGCACTTGACAGGCAGAGGCAGATGGATCTCTATGAGACTGAGGCCAGCCTGGTCTACATAGTGAGTTCCAGGCCAGCTGGGCTACAAACAAACAAAAATAAAACGGCCATCTTATTTACACTTGCAGTCTAAAATATATAGTCAAGAAATGCAAGCATGTTCCCTTTTTCTCCCTCTCTCTCTCTCTCTCTCTCTCTCTCTCTCTCTCTCTCTCTCCATGGTCTTATATGAAGCTCAGACTAGCCTTGAACTTAATGTCCTCCTGTCTCTGTCTCCCCAGTGATGCTATTAAAGGCATGTGCCATTACCTACATTTAAAAATATTTTATTTATTATTTTTATTTTTTGTGTGCGAGTGTATTGCCTGCATGTATGTGAGTGCACGCATGTCGTGCAATGCCCATAGAGGTCAGAAGAGGGCACTGGATTCCCCTAGAACTAGAGTTACAGATGGTTGATAGCCACCGTGTGGGTGCTAGGAATCGAACCCAGGTCCTCTGCAAGAGCAGCCTGTGTTCTTAACCACTGAGCAATCTTTCCAACCTCCATTACCCTCATTTTTAACCCTCTAATCTGAGGCAAGCCAATGCCAAGAACACACACTGGCAACTTCTGTTTATTCCAAGGGAAGTGTCTATTACTTAACGTCTCCATTAAATAATAAAGACATAGTCAACTAAGTACACAGAAATCTCAGAAAACTCAAGAAACACCTGCTAAATGAGGAGAGGACCTTTTAATACATACCTTATTAAAAATAGTCCAACAAAAGTCTTAACAACCAAGGCAAGATGCCAGTGGATATTAAGTTGCATTAAATCTGCCAGGGAGACCGTGTTAAACTGATCACATTTTGGCAGTACAAAAACTTGCTTTGGATCACAAAGACTCCTTAAAAAATCTTATTGCCAGTGTTAAGGGTGGTACATTGGCACAGAACAGGCAAAGTTGTTCACTAAAAGTCAGCAGTTCATCTCCTTCCTGCTAGTATTGAGGCACAAGTACTAGATCCCTTTTTCCTTCCCCAACAACCTTCTAATGACTATAAACATATGAAGGAGGATCTGCCAAAGTAGCTGAGGTTGAGGGCCTGAGAAGGCAGCTCAGTTGGTAAAGTGCTCACTGTGCAGGTAAGGAGGACCTGACTTCAACCCCCAGGACCCGTATAAAAGCTGTGTGCAGCAGCCTGTATCTGTGCCCCTAGCACCGAGGAGGCTGAGATAGGAGGATCTCTGGGCTCACTGGCCAGCTAGTCTAGCCAAACTGGTAACCTCCAGGCTTAGTGAGAGACTCTGTCTCAAAAAATAAGAGTGAGCAACTGAGGAAGAAACATAACTTCAATATCTGACCTCTATAGACACGCACACACACGCACTCTCTCACACATCGTCTCTGTCTCCCACACCATCTCTGCCTCTCTCTCTCACACACACAATATCTCTCTGTCTCTTACACACCACACCATCTCTCTTTCTGTATGTCTCTCATACACATCATCCTCTCCCCCCACCTCTCTCCCCCCCTCTTTCAGTCTTTTTGAGACAGGGTCTCCCTGTAGCCCCAGCTGACCTGGAATTTATTATGTAGACCAGGCTGGCCTCGATCTCACAGAGATTCACCTGCCTCTGCCTCCCAAGTGTTGGGACTATTGTGCATTACCATATCTGGTTGGTGCTCTCTCTCTCTCTCTCTCTCTCTCTCTCTCTCTCTCTCTCTCTCCCTCTCTCTCTCTCATCCTCTTTCCAGTTCAGTTATCAACAATTGGAGCCTTTGAGACTTACCGTTTTGCCTCTGGCTCCCTTGGGTCCAGTCTCTCCTGGACCACCAGGGTCCCCAGTCTCACCCTAAAAAGTGCGTTAAAATACAATCATGACTGAAGTCAAACGCATGTCACAGAAGCATATTAATGCTTGTACTGACTGCAGCATGAAGTCATCTTTATATGCATTTTGTCTTTGTCTCTTTTACTCCCCATAGGACCGAGCATCATCACCCACTCACGGAGTCGTCTTCCTGATCAGAACTCAGGCTCCCTGGAGAACCAGCAGTACTTTATGTTTGGTCTTCTGACCTTATCATGGAGTCTGACATTTACTGAGTTCAGTAAATCTTTCTAGAAAAACTGAAAGCCTCAAGGCAAAGAGTATTGTTTACTTGTTATCTGAAGGTGATTTATAAATGCCTTGAGAAAATCAAACTGGGAAAAATCTGATTATCTGGGTTTTCTTTACATTTTGCTTTGAGCAATAAAGAAAATACACGTGATGGAAGGAAAGGGTGACATTTTGAGGATAAAAATTTAGCAGATTGTCTTCTTTTAACTATGAATTAAAATCTCAAAGTAAAATGTTTTTTAAAGTCTTACACTTCTAAACGAACATATTGGGGAAAAATGACCTTCCTCCTCCTCTTGAAGAATATTTATTTGTTATTAACTGTCCTACCGGTCTAAGCTGTATCTCCTAACCCCAGAGCATCTCAGCTCTATAGCTGTGCTGTGCACGGTACCTTCGGTCCACTTTCTCCAGGAAATCCTTCTTGTCCCTGTAATCAAGGGCAGAGGAAATCAATATACACACATCGCAAGCAGATTTAGATTGACTTTAATTCTACCAACTGCCTTGTTTAGTTTTAATGTCTATGAACCAAGGAAGGGCTGAACCAATTGAAAACTAGGTAGTACTATTGGAGAAGCTAATTCCAAATTCTCAATTAAATTGCTTACTGGTTTCATCAAAATACAGCAAGCTAACATGAGAGGGGGCAAGAAATTTGAGGTGAAAGTGATGTGATCGATTAGCTCTGCTTTGCCTGCATGCCCGAACAAAACAGACGGTCGATGGCTGTATGTCTCAGACCCACCTTTCTGAAATGGGTTTCAATGAAGGATTTTAGGAAGTCAACAGTCTAAACTTGATAATTCATTTTAAGGTCCTCTGTTTACCTTACTTTGGCCAAACACTAGGTGAAGAGGAATATTAATCTCCATTTGATGAGAAATAAGCATTTTTATTTAAAATAAAGTATTTTTTCTTTTTGCCTGTGTATGTGTGTGGAGGAGGGATCTAAGGAGAGGCCAGAGAAGGATGTCAGGTGTCGACTTCCATCACTCTCCACCTTATTTATTTATTTATTTATTTATTCATTCATTCATTCATTGTCTTTTTGAGACAGGGTCTCCCTGTAGCCCCAGCTGGCCTGGGACTCGCTATATAGACCAGGCTGGCCTTGATCTCACAGAGATTCACCTGCCTCTGCCTCCCAAGTGCTGGACTAAAGGTGAGTGCCACCACTCCTGGCTTCCACTTTATTTTTTGAGATAGGGTATCTCGTTGAACCTGAATCTCACCGTCTCTACCCACCCCCCCAATGCTGGGGTACAAGCATTATGGCCATGTCCAGCTTTTACATAGGTGCAGGGGATTTGAATTCAGATATTCTTGGTTTCCTAGGGAGTGATCTTACCCACTGAGCTATTCCCCAGCCCCTAAAGTTTATTTTACTTAGATTAGCACTTTTTTGAGTAACAGCTATCAATTACATGTTAAGGGAGTGTCCATCCATGCATATAGCATGCACCAATCAAATCCCTTTATCTCTCTCTCCCTTCCCAACTTCTAGTCACCAATAACTTACAAAAAATACATTTATTTTCTGATTAACAAAATCCTGAAGCACACATAAAATACAAAAGGCAAAAAGAAGAAAAACAACCCAAATCTTCCTCTTCATAGCTATTATACATCTCTGTTCCATTTCCTTGTAAAACGCATTTTAGGCACAATTGTATAAATGATCTTCCAAGTATATTCTGAGTTTCTACTTGAAATTTCCACATAAAAATTTTAAGCAGGAGGCTGAGAAGATGGTTCAGTTGGTAGAGGGCTTGTAAAGTATGGGACCTGACTCCAGGTCCCCAGCACCCACATAAAAAGGCAGAAGGGCTGTAACAGGGAGCTAGGGGTAGGGACAGGAGGATCACATGATCAGCTAGTTCAGCCAGTCAGAGGATTGCAGGGCCAGCCGGCTCCACAGGTCAGTGAGCTCCAGGTTCAGTGGGGACCGTGTCTTAAAAAACAAGGCCAAGAGACCGGGCCTGTGGCGCACGCCTTTAATCCCAGCACTCGGGAGGCAGAGGCAGGCGGATCTCTGTGAGTTCAAGGCCAGCTTGGTCTACATAGTGAGTTCCAGGACAGCTGGGTGCTACAGGGAGACCCTGTCTCAAAAAGACCAAAACAAAAACAAAAACAAAGCAGAGAGCGCTAGACCAACGTTGACCTCTGGCCTCTTACATGTGCATACATGGAGATGTGTGCCCTCCCCACAAATATTTATAGACTTTCATATATATTCATTTTTATAGAGTGGCTAATATTCAGTGTGATAGGCTATTTAATACCCCTTCCCCTTTTTTTTGATACAGTGTTTCCCTGTAGCCCCAGCAGGCCTGGAACTCACTACATAGACTAGGCTGGCCTCAGTCTCACAGATCTCTGCCTGCCTCTGCCTCCCGAGTGCTGGGATCAAAAGTGTGCACCACCACGCCTGGCTTACTATTTCCCTTTTGATAGGAAACTAACATTTGTTGTTATTCTCTATTCTAAATTACTGACATTACTGAAATTCCTCTTCCAGATGCCTTCTTGAATCACTCCTTGTAGGACTCCACAAGGAATTACATAATCAATCCTGTGTAATATTTTAGACTATTGAAGTTTTTATCTCTCAGATATTTGTAATAGGTTTCAAACATTTTTTCAGAAAGCGTATCTTTTTTAAAAAATATTTTATTATTTTTATTTTATGTGTATGCGTGTATTGCCTGCATGTAGGTAAGTGCACCCATGTCATGCAATGCCCGCAGAGGACAGAAGAGACTGTCAGATCCCCTGGAACTGGAGTTACAGACAGTTGTTAGCTGCCATGGGGGTGCTTGGATTCGAACCCGGGTCTTCTGCAAGAACAGTCAATGTTCTTAACTGCTGTGCTATCTCTCTAGCCCCCAGAAAGAATATCTTTTTATTTTATGATTACTTCATAATTATAATTATTTTTCAAGTGATTGTGTGTATGGGTGTGTGGGTGTATGGGAGTGTACATGCAGCCTCATGTGTGCATGTGCATGTAGACAGAGATCAGAAGACAACCCTGGGCATTGTTCCTCAGGTGCCTTATATTTTACTTTTTTTTAATGTGTCTATGTGTCTGTGCATCCATGAGTTTATGTGCACCATGGTGTGCAGGTCTCCAAGGAGGCTAGAGTGCATCAGATCCCCTGGAACTGGAGTTACAAATGGTTATGAGCTGCCTTATACAGGTACTGGGAACTGAGCCTGATTCCTCTGAAAGAGCAGTAAGCACTCTTAACCATTGAGCCATCTTTCCAGCCCGCTTTCCACCTTTTGTTTGAGATAGGGTCTGTCATATGCTTGGGCCTTTGCCAAGTAGGTGACCAGTGAGCTCCAGAGAGCCACCTGTCTCTACTTCCCATCTAGCCACACAGGGATGACAAGTGTACACTACCATGCTCAGCTTTTTACATGGGTTCTAGGGACCGAATTCAGGTGCTTATACTTGCAAGGCAAGCGCTTTACTTACTGAACCATCTTCCCAACCCCTTATGATGAATTTTTCTAAATTTGTTATTGTTAGTGTATCAAAATCACTGAGTTTGATAAACTTATCTATCTTATTTTCAGGCATTTAAAAATACAGTAACGATATAAAGTAATCATTTAGTTTTATTTTAAGTTACTGTTTAGACAAACGTGTTTAGAAAAGTGCTGCAAAACTTTCTCCCTGGTGGCTAACACAGTCATAATACCAGGAGGACACGATGTGGAGCACCTCCCTAGCGAAGCCAAGCACAAAGCTGCTAAGAGTGGAGGCTTTCAGGCTGGAACCCATCCAGTAAGCACGTGCCACATAAAAACGGGTGCTTCACGTTCAACTTTCAATTTTCACCTGCACCTGGAACCCTCAGACTTTCTCTATCACATTCCCCACAGGATATCAGCAAGTAAATTATCAACATGGATTTTAGATTGCACAAGTTTTGTTTTGTTTTTTTTCTTATCCACTGTCAACTTCTTTCTCATAATATGGCAAACCAAACAAGCAGCGAAAAATAAATGGGACAGGTCTGGCTTCGGTAGATATGGCTTACCTTTGTCCCTTTACGGCCAATGCTACCATAACCCGGGCTGCCATCATCACCCTATAAGCAACACAATTGCAACCACAGTTAGAGGCAGGCCAAGATGAGCAGATTTAGGGTTTTATGAGGATCCTCCAGCTGGGCAGATGTCAGTGACCCTTTATGGCAATGGTACTGATAAAATCTTCTGCATAGTAGAAGTAATAACTGCCTCTACTCATTGTGTTGTTATGAAGATCAAGAGCGAATATGTTAGGCATAATCTTTCCAGTAGGAGAAGGCAGTGTTAGCTAACTCTTCCAGAGAGTGTCTCTGTTAATACTTCTGCTTGGTGTATTTTCAGTTCACTAGACAAAACCAAGCACTCTAAAACGCTCAGGCATTGGATGCTGCTTGGTCTTTGAAGCCCTGAGCAACAGGAGGAAGGATGGAATGGTTTTCTGCTGAAGAGGCCCTGACAGGTAAAAGGTGAGATAAGATGATGTGAGGATGCTGCACACGCTTAGTCTATCCTACCCATTGACTTCAAGAGTATTTGAGCCATGATGTCTGCTGCCTTGGGAAAACCGGCCAAGGAACTAATCAGAAAGGAGTATGATGTGCTTTCCGCTTCTAGAACACTATAAAGCCAGATTGGGATGGCATCATTAAAACTCTTCTAAGAATTCCTCAGAGATATAGTTCATATATCAATTTATCATGCTCTGAACACTGTCTGTCCTAGTGTCTGAACACTCAGTCCCTAACTGGTGGCACTGTGTGGGAAGGTTGTGAAACCTCCAGGGGGCAGATCCTTGCTGGTGGAAGTGGGCCACTAGGGGTTTGCTCTGAGGGTCTACAACTCAGCCCCACTTACTGCTCATTCTGTTTCCTGACTGTGGATGCAGTGTGACCAGCTGCCTCGTGCTCCTACCTACTTGCTTCCTGGTCATGATGGACAATGTCCCCTCAAACTGTAAGCCAAAGGAGACCTTTCTTCCATTAAATTGCTTCCTATCAGGTATTTGGTCACAGCAATGAGAAAAGTAACTAATATACTATGAAGTAAAAGATTCCCAAGACCAGACCAAAAGTACTTAAAAGGAAAAAAAAAAAACCCACCAACCTGCAGGCCCCGAGGACCAGGAAAGCCAGTAGCTCCCTTTTCTCCCAGGTCTCCAGGTTCTCCCTATTCAACAGAACAGTGAAACAGGTCTTCCTTCATTAGGTTGTTTTGTTTTATTGACACAGGGTCTCAGTCTGTACCCCAGGCTAACTTTAAACCTGTACCAATCCTCCTGCTCAGCCTCATAAGTGCTGGGATTACAGGCAGGAGCCACCACACTCAGCTGTCATTAGGTTGTTTTATAATGGCAAGTCAGAAATGATAGTGCTAGGCACCATTTAGCCAAGTCCAAGTGTGTCATGGCAATGGGTTTGTGTCCAGGCATGCATATTGCATGTGTGACATGAGAGGTGTGGCTGGCCAATGAGGTCTCTTCCATCCATTATGGAAGTCTCAGCAAGTCTGATTTACTGTTTAAGTTGCCATCACATCGGCTCAGGGTCATGAAAATGACCCTATCAGGAGTCAGAAAGGACTCTCTCTACTGCTAAAAAACAACACCGACAAAATTGTTCCCTATGAGGACCTAAGTAACTCACCCGGCTCTGGTGGGGCAGGTCTATTAGCCTAGTTTTAAGTATTTGAGTGTAAATCAGACAGCCCAGGAAGCACAAGTAGTGTCTGACAAGCAGAGCATCTACCACGGCTTGTAAATCAATCTCAGTCATGTCTTGGGGAAACTCCATCTACTGGGGAAAAATGAACACAGGTTTATAAAAGAAGGGGAACCCCTTTTAAGAAAATAAAAACTTAACTCTGTAATAGTTTTGGACTTACAGAACTGTTGTGAATAGAGTCAGAGTCCTCAGCATCCTGCACCTACCTTACCATTACTAACATTATGTACTCCATTCACATTTGGTACAAAGAACGAATTGATACTGTTTTATCATAGTCACAAGAGCCCACATTTCAGTCAGATTTCCCTTTAGCTTTTGCTTACCATTCTTTTTCCTATCCAGGATCACCAGGAGTATATCACATGGACATCTCCCTTGTTTCTTTCAGACTGGGATGGTTTGTCAGACTTTTCCTGTTGTTTTGATGACTTTAATAGCTTTGAGGATCCTGTGTCAGGCATCCTATAGAATGTCTCTCAATTAGAGTTGTCTGATATTTTATTTATTATTACACCGAGTCCCTGGACTTTGGGGAAGGATCACAGGGGTAAAGTGCTAGTCTCACTGCAAAGGTAGACATGGCCCAACATTGATGTTGACCTTGACCATCTGTCGACATAGCACTGGTCATGCTGCCTTACCATCAAGGTAGCCTCTGGCCAAGTCCCTCTTCATATACTGCATTTTTGGAAGTGAGAAGTGGGAGTATCTGACTCATTTTAAGGACAGAAATGTAACATGGCAAATGGCAGAACTGTGACTGGACAAATACCCACAGCTCTAAGGCATGGGGTGAGAGGCTGGGAGCCTTTTTCCCCAGGAGTTTCTTTCTTTCTTTTTTTATTCATTAAAAAAATTTATTATTTTTATTTTATGTGTATTGCCTGCATGTATGTAAGTGCACTTGTGTCACGCAATGCCCACGAAGGTCAGAAAAGGATGCTGAATTCTCCTGGAGAGTTCAAGTTACAGATGATCGTTAGCTGGGAACTGAACCCAAGTCCCCTGCAAGAGCAGCCAGTGTTCTTGACCACTGAGCCGTCTCCCCATCCCTCTCCCACCGGGACTTTCTTTGAGGGAACGATTCTCAGAGTGCTTGGGGGCAACCTGTCCCACAAGCAGCCAGGGCTCACGTACAAAAGTAAATGCCCAGACCCTTTGAATTAGTCCGGTACTGGAGTCCAACAATACATTTTGAAGTCATTCCCAGCTGACTCACATGCACACTCAAATTTGAAGACATCTGCTTCAAGGCAGAAAAATGGAGAAAAAGTAATATGGCTTGCCCATGGCCAAATACTTGGTTCCTCAGTTATTGGTAGAGTCAGGCATGGAGCCCAGGATTGGCAAATTTGAACTTACTGGAGTAAAAAGTCTGTGTAGGTATTTATTTCAATTAATAGTGAGACTAAGACTCAGTACATTTGGGGGTTGCTTGAAGGGTTTGAGTTTGCATTGGGGCACTTACCTGTCCCCCGATTCTTTTTGTTTGTTTGTATGAGACAGGGTCTCCCTATAACCCAGGTTAGCCTGGACCCCCCTGTGCAGACCACACTGGCCTTAATCTCACAGAGATTTGCCTGCCTCTGCTTCCCAAGTGCTGGAACTAAAGGTATGTACCATCATGCCCGACTCCTTCAATTCCTGCTGTCCTCCATTAAAGTTCCTTTTGCTAATGATGATCCTGATGGGCATGACTACCCTGTGTGTGCCTGTTTCCTCATTCTCACCCAGCTCTGGGGTCCATCCATCTCTGTTTTCTCTCTTTGGTCCTTTCTATCATACTCCACAGCAGACCTTCATTTCACATGCACTATCCACACATCCATGGAAAAAGCCATCACACACACACACACACACACACACACACACACACACACACACACACACACACACACACACACACACACACCTTTCCTTACTGAAAGAGAAATTGTATTCTCAGCAGTGACAGTGTTGCCGTACAGTTTACTCCAGACAAGGAGGCAATGTGGTTTCCCTTTCCAACTCTCACTTTCAGACCATTCTTGCTCTACCACATGTTCTAGAACTCTCTTCCTTCTGAAGTTGCTTCTCATCGTCCTTGTATCTTATTACACACACAAATGAACTGTCTTGGCCTCACTCCTCTGCTGTCCCCATCATAGGCTCTCGCCAAGTCCCTTGCTAAGCCTCAAGTTCATTCTGTCAAGAAATTTCTCTACTCCGAATAGTGACTCTAATGACTCTACCGCCCATTTTCCGTCTCAACCTTTATCCTTTCCGATTATACACCCATTACAATCTCTCCTATCACTGAGAACAAACACCCCACTTCAAGCTTTCCTAGACCATGACAGTCTCAAGTAGTAATGTCCTCCTCTTTCCTTTAAAGGTGGAATTTCTTGACAGATCAGAATGCTGCTGTGTCCACTGCTCCTCCACAGGATGGCCATTCCCTTGCAGCCCGCCTCCTTCCTCCTCTCAGTGACTTCACTATGGAACTACTCTTTGGAGCATGTTCCTCACCCACCCCTACCCCCACCCCCGGCTCGATTGTGATGGCTCTTTACCACCTCCCTGCCTGGATTTTTCTACGCCAGTTGACCTTCCTTCCTTCCCAATCATTGTCTTCTGTTTCCTTGTGTAGTTCTTACAAACAGGCATCACTACGTGTTCTTTTGACCCAAATGGTTCAGAAACCCACATCTCCAAGCAGATGTAGGCCTCCCCTCTAGCCCCAGAGAAAATGCTTTCCTTCACTCGTCAACCTGATCTTCCTCAAACCTTATGCATAAGTGATGGTGTCACCAGTCACACTAGAATCCCTGGGTCCTCCAGCCCATCCCAGAAGAGTCCTATAAAAATCACTATACATCCAGTTTTCACCCTGGTGAGTCTCCAGCCACTGCTGGTCTTGGAGGCAACAAGTAACCAACCAGACCTGAGCTTCCATGCTCCCAGCCTCTGAAACAAATGTCTACACTGCATTGCTCATTTAACATCTCCTAAGAGCCCTTCAAAAATATTAGGCAGCACTCTACTGGCTACGGGGTAGCCAGCCACACAGACTGGATTGCTCTTTACGTGCATCCCAGGAAGACCATCTTTCATTCAATAATTATTCTCCAAATAATCCCTTCTCCTTGGACATTCTGACTTCCGTGCCTTCCTGCACATTGTTCATGTTAATGGCTGTCCTCCATTTTCCCTCTTGCTAAGTCCTTATCTTCTAAAAGTCACCAAGTCTGTATCTTCGCTGATGTCTTTTTCCAACACAGAAATACTTCTAACAATGGTAAGTTTGAATCTCAGTCTTTTGTCCTTGTCAATTTTATGACTTAGATTATTGTCCTAAAATGTTTTAAATTCTTTGGGCCTGATTTCACGTCCTGTGTGTCATGGCTACTAGGTGTTCTTTTATTCATAAATATTCATTAAGCACTTGATACAGGCCAGGCACTGTTCTAAGCACTAGAACACAGTGTTGAAGCAAAGACCCTGCTCTTCTGTAACCAAATTTTCAGCATTGCTGAAAGCTCAGTACAGGGCCTAGGTCTTAAAAGGTGCTCAGAAAAGCTTTGTCTGAAAGGATTAAGAGAAGAAGGAAGGAAAAGAGGAAAGGAGGGAGTGATGTGGAGAGGGTGGAAGGGGGAAGGGAAGGCCTGGCGAGACCAGCCCTCCTCTCCTGAGGTTCCTCAGCTGGGTGGGGTGTAGCCCCTCATGCAATTTTGCTGAGCTGGAGTCTCTGACCTCATCCCGGTCCACACCCAGGTCCTTAGAGGTTCTGGCTCTCTAAGAATCAAGCCAGGGCTTAGGGGTAACGAGATGTATTTTCCTTGGTGTTGAAAGGGCTCTGGTTGATCCAGTCAGCCACAGTTCTCTGGGGTAGAAAAGCTTCAACTTTTGGGGGTGGAGGGTTGTTGTATAAAGAATGTGACCTACTTTTCTTCCTTGGCTTCCCAAATGGCCTTGATTCCCTGCTTGTCCCCCGAGTCCTGGAGGCCCCTGAAATGAAATAAGGATCATAAATACAGCAAGACATAAAGCAATGCTCCCTTGTTGCTTCTATGTGTCTTCTAAGAGGAAAATGAGCTGCAGGTGGAAGCAGACCCATGCCTGCTCTAATTCCTTCTCTGGAAAAATATTGCAGCTGTCAAATAAAGACTAGTAAATAAAAGAAAATTAATAAAGTAATCCCTGCCAGATGCTATCTGAATGATTATGCTTCCTTGTGAGTCTCCGAGTCTCCTCTTCCAAGCAGAGTCCAGCTTCTCGTTGTTTTGCTCAGAGAACAGATGTTGCTCAAGGGTCTAACATTTAGATAAGGCTTTCCAAAGGACATTTGCCTTCAAAACACGCTTTCTACCAAAAGCAAGGGCTCAGTCTTGCTTTTAAAGGTAAACTTATCTTTATTTGCAAATTGTCTAAAGTGTACATTAGAAAACTCAAGAGAAAACTAAAAACACTAAAAACAACTAGCATTATAACAAAAATATGTTCAGGGAGTACAGAGTAAGCATTCTGAATCATTTTCAGGAATTATCACAAAATAGAAATGTCATCCTTGTGTCCTAGTACAGAGCCAGCTATACAGGAAGTGCTTGTGGTAAATACTTGCTAAAATAGTAAAAGATGAGTTGACAAACCATCCAGCTTAGATCAGGCAGGATGGTAAAACCTGATAATTGCAATATGGGTTACAGACTTCTATCACTGGCAGGCTTTTCTTCAAAGTGTGGCCCACATTTAGGGCATACAATACCTCTGTTCAGGTTGAGGAGATGGCTCAGTGGGGTCAGGGCACTTTGAGTGTATTGCCTGCATGCACCTAAGTGCACATGTATTGTGCAGTGCCCTCAGAGGTCAGAAGAGGGTGTTGAATCCCCTGGAACATGGGTTACGGACAGTTGTTAGCTACCATGTGGGTGCTGGGAATTGAACCCGGGTCCTCTGCAAGAGCAGTCAGTGCTCTTAACTGCTGAGCCATCTCTCCAGCCCCAATTTATACTGTTTGTTCTTTAATAACCTCATATATGTATACAATACGTTCTGCTTACTTTCACTCCATCTCTCATCTCCCTCCTATCCCTCTTACCCCTCCTTTCTCCTTAAAGTTTCCTTTCCCTTGTTCATGCCTTTTTGTTTTGTTTTGTGACCCACCAAGTTTGACCAGGGCCATCTGAGTGACTGTGGATGCAGGACTATCCAGTGGAGCTTGGCATGCTCAACCTTCCTCCAGCTTGAGTGCTGGGACAATGGAGGCACACAGCTGTCCTGGAACTCACTGTGTAGACCAGGCTGGCCTTGAACTCACAGAGATCCACCTGCCTCTGCCTCCAGAGTGCTGGGATTAAATGTGTGCGCCACCACACCCGGCCCAACCTTTCTTTTAAAAATTATTTATTTTATGCGTGTTTTTTCTGCATGTATGTAAGTACACCACATGTATACAATGCCTATGGAGGCCAGAAGAGAGTATCAGATCCCCTGGAACCGGAATTATGGACCAGTGTTAGCTGCCATGTGGATGCTGGGAACTGAACCTCAGTCCTCTGCAAGAGTAGCCAGTGCTCTTAACTGGTGAGCCATCTCTCCAGCCTGAATTCTAACCTTTTTTGATTATGTGCATGCTACCAGTGTTGTTTAACTAAGAAAGCATGCTTTTTTTTTTTTTTTGAGACAGAGTCTCCCAGTAGCCCCAACTGCCTGGGAACTCTCTATGTAGACCAGGCTGGCCTTCCTTGATCTTGTAGAGATCCACCTGCCTCTGCCTCCTGAGTGCTGGGATTAAAAGCATGTGCCACCATACCCAGCCTGAAAACATACATTTTTTAAAGAACAACTTTAATCTTACCCCAACTCCAACTAAAATGAGTATTCTGGACCTAGTTTTCTATTTTATATCTGGGCATTACATTAGAGTAGGATCTTAAGGTAAAGTAAACAAAGACTAAATGAAAGAAGGTGCAGAAGAATACGCTGTGCCTTTCAAAAATCTTTCTTCCCGGTCATTGCTCCTCAACTTGTATTTCTTTCCTATTGTAGCCACACAGTGGCTAGATTAACACATTTCACTATGCAGAACACCGAGTACCATGTAAGTTAGTGAGCCTTCAGTACATCAATAGAAATTGCACCCTTCTAGAAATGTTAGTCCTAAGGAAAGCTTTCAAGCTTGCTGTCAGAGGACATGTGATTCCACTGGAGTGGCTAGGCCTCATGTGCTATAAAACAATATGAAACCTATTGCAATACTTGCAGCGTCCATACAGAACGGTACTCTCCTATATGTCTGTGTTTGTCTCTGTAGCTTTCCTTCAGAAACAACAGTCTGGAGATCTCATTCATTGTATCCTGAACACAGAAAATTCTACACATCTTTGAAACAGCATTTTAACTGGCTGACAGGGGTATTTCATAAAAATCAAGCAAAGAAAGAAAGCCACGTTTTCCAGGCAGATGACTGGAAGTGGAGGGTAGACAGAAGGTTACCTTTGGACTAACTGGCAATGCCAAAAGGGTTGAATGATTTATGACTGAGACACAGCTTGCCAAAGCAAGATGAAAGGCGCTGTTCACAGAAGTGCACCGCAGGGCAAGTGGAAATGCTATTCGAATGGCAGTCACCGGATACAATTTTGGATTTTAGAGGAAAAGGAAGACTGAGGCCTTTGTATTTCAACCCATCTACATATTGATGTCACTATTTGATATCAGCAGAGGAGATAATCACCCAATACATGCTTTCTTTGGCATATACTGTTTCTATAAAAATCTCCATTTCCATTGCCAGCCAGCTCTCAATGATTCAAGGATATGAATGGAAGAGAGTTACTTATCACTGATTTAGTTCTGCTATGAAATGATAAAGTTTTCATGCATTTGCAAGGATTATTTTCATCAACACCAGGAACAAACATCATCACTGTTATTAATGTACTTTAAAATATTATACCATGCTATACATGTTTATGTAAATAGCCTCTTAAATATTCTGATGATGAGCATAAGCACATAAGTGTTGGGCCACTGCCCAGTTTAACTAATGGACACTAAGTAATGAATTCTCTTTATACTGCTATTAGCAGAGAGTGAAATCTCCACCTGGGTCTCATTCATTCATTTACTGCTTGATTTATTACACAAAGGTATTGAGCTCCACTCTGCCAGGTACTGCTGTGCCAGCCTCTGGGGATACAGTGTAAGCAAGACACAGCATGTTGGAGCTCAGAATCTAGAGAGGAGAGCAACAGATAAGCACGTCATGACAGCAGTAGGCAAGAGGCAGCTCACACAGAACCTTGATACTCAAAGTGTGGTCCAGAGACCTGCAGTATTAGCATCACCCAGGACCTCAGAGTACATTAAGAATCTCAGGGCCTTGGCTGGAGAGACAGTTCAGCAGTTAAGAGCACTGCCTGCTCTTGCAGAAGACTGAGGTACAGTTCCCAGCACCCACATAGGGGCTACCAACCATCCACAACTCCAATTCCAAGGGATCCAATACCATCTTCTGACTTTTTGGGGTATTGCATGCATGGATGCAGTTTCATACAGGTAGGCAAAATGTGCATATTCATAAAATGAAAATAAATCAATCAAAAATGTTTTTAATTAAAAAATTTTATTTTATGTGTATGAGTGTATTGCCTGCATGTATGTAAGTGTACCCATGTCATACAATGCCATGGAGATCAGAAGAAGGCGTCAGATCTCCTGGACCTGGAGTTACAGACAGTTGTTAGCTGCCATGTGGGTGCTGGGAACTGAACCTGGGTCCTCTGTTCAAGAGCAGCCAGTGCTCACAACCGCTGAGCCATCTCCACAGCCCTCAAAAACATGTTTTTCTTTTTAGAATCTTAGGGCCTGCCCTAGAATTACTGGATCAGGATCTGCATTTTAACAAGTTTTCTAAGGGATTTTTGATCACTTAGAAGTGGGAGAGGTGTTGATGTTGGGTGGCCATATCCCGATCCTGGGTACAATTGGCGTTACCTGGGCGAGAATTCAGAACTACTGATACCATGGCTTCACTTCCAGAGATTCTGATTTAAGAGTTCTGGGGGGAGGTTCCCAGATGGTGAATCTCAGGGAGATTCTTATTCATAGCCTGGGTGAGGACCATGAATGAGGTTGTCTTCTGGGTATGATGGGACAATCCCAGACCCTAGAGAGCAGGGTGTGACATAACTTGATTTAACATAGAGGAAGACTTCCTAGCCTTGGCTGAGTAACGGAGGGAAGGGGGGCTGGAAATGATGCATATCTACCTGTCAGAATGACAGTCTACTTAGCAGGATGGGGGACTAGAGTATGACGTGGCCACCACCTCCAGCCCTAAAGTCAGACTTAATACACTTGTCGGCTCATAGGCAGAAAACAATTCCCCTTCAGAGAACAAACCACCAAAAAACGAACATTGAAACCAAGGTAAAAGGTGATGCAGCTCCTTTTCTCCTTACATACCTGGGGACCTTTAATTCCCAGATTTCCTTTTTCTCCCTTTTCACCAGCCTCTCCTCTTGAGCCCTAAATACATAGAATCAGCAAGTTATTTTCTCCCTTAGTGAGAACCCTTGAATATTAACTTGCCCACTAAAATGGAAATGCTAAGTCAGTATTACATGGACAGAAACTGGAGCATCATTATGCCGGGGGCACTCTGGGTCTTCAAGTTCACCCACATGTGTGTGGGAGTACTGTAGTCCAATCTCAAATTCAGGAGGTTGAGCCTTTACAGCCTAAAAGCTAGGGCTTGGAAGAAACCGGGAACAGCTGAGCTTTTCAGAACTTTTCAGCACTGCTAATTTTCCTCAGCCTCTTCACACTCTGAAGTGATACATTTCTTACACTAAATTTTTCTTAATTATGTAAATATGAAACCAGAATATTTAAATCAATTTTATATTCAACAGTATGACCCAAGATTGGTCATAAAGAAGATATGGCACATGGCAAGATGAAATTTAGATATTTCTACTTCTGGAAATGTGCTGCTGCCTATTCACTATGACTTCCATATGTTATGCAGGGAAACCTTTGTGCTGTATTTTAAATTGCATTGTGAATAAAAAAGATCTATAAAATGGAAGCAGGCATGCTGTAGTGTTACTTGCATAGCATGAAATCAAGGCAGTCAATCTACTGAGATGATTCCCCATAATCCAAGTGGCAAATATTTCTCACTTGAAAGTAAGAAAATTGAGCTTTCCTCAGCTGGCAAGTTATGACAAAGAAAAGCAATCAAGCTGGAGAGAGACAGTGGTCCAAGGGGAAGGTTATTTACTGGGAAGAAATCTTAGAAAGGTGGACAAAGTTTCTCTTCTGATGGTTAAATGTATTTTACCCAACTTCCAGATGCAACTGCTAATATATAATGCTTTTATTTTTCAACTATTTGTTTGAAAACTTTGGAAAAATAGAATCAAGAATTGTCTTGTCTACGCCAAACTATTTTTCTATTTTGATTTTTTCTTTTTCTTTCTTTTTTCTTGTGGTCTTTTTGAGACAGGGTCTCCCTGTAGCTGCAGCTGGCCTGGATTCGCTACGGAGACCAGGCTGGCCTTGAACTCACAGAGATCCACCTGCCTCTGCCTCCCAAACCCTGGGATTAAATGTGTGTGCT